CATCCACGGCGCCCTCAGCTCGCCCAAGCAGGCGTCCGTGTGCCCCGAGGCCCGTGGCTCGTACCCGGCGCCTGAACTCCCCGAGAGCCACCCGGTGCAGTGGCCCTCCGACGCGCCCCTGCCTGGCTCCGACATGCCCTTCGACCTCTCCACGCACAACCGGGAACCCCGCATGTCGCCGGCCTCCAGACCTCTCGACCTCTCGGAGTCGGAGCAGCCGCTCGACCTCCGAGTGAAGAAGAGGCATCAGGAGGAGGACGAGAACATGAACATCGTCGTGCGCCGGACGCCGCCCACGCCGCCCCGACGGCCCGTCTCGCCCAAGTACGTGAGTGCGGGCCACGGGTTCCGGTCACCGCACCCGCACGAGGCGCCGCCCGCGCCCGTGGAGAGTGAACACAAGACCAGCAGCCTCCCGCTGGTGCACGTGACCAGCCCGGTCAGCACGCGCACGCCGCCCGTGGTGTATCCCCAGCCAGTCCACCAGCCCGTGCACCACACCGTGCACCACACTGTGCACCAGAGTGTACATCAGACTGTACACCAGCCTGTTCCCGTGTACACTGAATGTCGACCTCTACCTCCGGCCTCGTCTGTCAGACCGCCCTACCCCATGATGGGTCTTCCTCACAACGCCTACCACCTGGGCCCGCCCGCAGGGTCCCCGCAGATGGTGGCAGGGTACAGAGGGCCTCCGCCCGGACCGCAGGGTCATCCTGCCCTCTACCAAGTCGTGGGAGACCGCATGCCGAAGGGCGTGACCCCGCACACGGAGCCCCATGGGCCGTCCCCAGTCCTCCCAGGGATGTCCACCGTCAAGCCGCGCGAGCGCTACGCATGCAAGTTCTGCGGCAAGGTGTTCCCTCGCTCGGCCAACCTGACGCGGCACCTGCGGACGCACACGGGCGAGCAGCCGTACAAGTGCAAGTTCTGCGAGCGCTCGTTCAGCATCTCGTCCAACCTGCAGCGCCACGTCCGCAACATCCACAACAAGGAGAAGCCCTACAAGTGCCGCCTCTGCGACCGCGCCTTCGGCCAGCAGACCAACCTGGACCGCCACATGAAGAAGCACGACTCCGACGGCCCCACGATCCTCGACGGCAGCCCCAAGCGGTACACGTCGCGGCCGCGGGAGGAGGCGACGACGACTGCGTCCGAGGAGAAGGACTCCTGCGACCTCAGCGGGTCTTTGGAGAGCCGCAGCGACATGGTCGGGCCCGAGGAAGACGACGAAGAGGATGAGTACATTGATGTCGAGGAAGAGGACGAGGACGAGGACGAAGAGGACCTCGGAGAGAAGGAAAGAGAAAAAATATCCTGCGCCGTGACCATAAAGTCCTCGGCGACTCCCATGGAAGTCGACGGCGCCGAGGCCATGGTGCAGCCCGTGGCCGTCATCACTGCGTGATTCCTTCTTCTTTTAGTACATCCTAAAAGTGTCCTCGGAAAAGACTCGAGTGCAGGATAGGGATCACTGTTAAGACGAACTTTTAGTCACGGCAGTAAACCAGAAACGTTTGGTCCTTTAGACATTATCTGTACCAAAAACACCAAGTGATGCCATTGTGGAGACCTTATCTTAGCAGTGAGAATTGTTTCCTGTCTAATGACTACCTAATGTTCAATCTTCTCGTTCGATGAGAGTTGGTTGAACATGGTTGTGAATACGGAAGAAGGAAGAGCAAAGACAATTCAGGAAGTGTCTCACTCTCTGTCCTCGAACTTATCTTTATTTAAGCCTTAAACTCTTCCTGCTGGAATTGATTTCTTGTACAAATTTCCGACCAACTCACGCGTATGGGTAACAGAGTGCAACATACCTTAGTCCGGCCAACTTGAGAAATGAAGGTTCCTTGTGAATTGTTATATATATTAGGTATATACTTGAAGCCAATGTGCTCACAGACATTGAGAAGGAGAGGAAGTATCTGTAATTTTTAAGTAGCCCACTGTAGTACAACTAGCCTAAGTGCATCGCCGTAGTCAAACACCAACTATAGGTTCACGCTTAAATAAGTCTCCTTCACCCTTTTCCTTCCCAGTCCCATTCTTATGGTCTTCTCCTACCTTGAAAATCCACGTCACGACGTCTCAAAGCAGGATGTTAGAAGGAAAACCTTTCCCTGTTGAAACCCCCACGCCCATCTGGAACCCCATCGCCCGAACGCTGCAGAGGAAAGCCCAACCTCTGCACGAAACCCCCTGCTTCCCACCCTGTCTCCCCTACGTGCCTTGGCGTCATAGTTACAGCTAGAGCAACAGCAACGGGTCTTCAAGATGATCAGGGACTTGGTCTCAGCCACTCTGAGGGCGTCTGGTCGTCAGGTTGCCCCGACTGCGACTGTCATGACTGAAATGATAGAACCTCGTTCTTTAGGCTTTAATTTGTCATCCGTCGGAGATCTGTGCACCTTTCTGTAATTTTTGTAATGGTTTCCAAAAGACCCCGTCTACACGTCTCTCTCTCTCTCTCTCTCTCTCTTCTCTCTCTCTCTCTCTCTCTCTCTCTCTCTCTCTCTCTCTCTCTCTCTCTCTCTCTCTCTCTCTCTCTCTCTATTTATATATGTGTGTGTTATATATATATACTATATATATGTATGTATGTGTGTGTATATATATATATATATATATATATGTATGTATATTAATATATATATATATATTATATATATATATATATATATATATATATATATATATGTATGTATGTATGTATGTATACACACAAACACACACATCTCCCTCTCTTTCTCTCACGTAACATCTGCCTAGAGTTCTAACTGACATTTAAAGGAGCATAGTTATAACTACCATCTTAATATGATCAACATTGATGTCTATATCTGTTTGAAGCTGCCATTTAAATCTGTCAGACTGTTTTCTCGAGATCTAAACGACCTTAGTCTACCATTGTTTCCGTAAATGTTCATTATCTTCTTCCCAGTATTCTTCAACTTTCCTTCCTCCTTCGTTGCCCTCTGGACGTAAGTGACGAGTCGTATGGTGTTCATGTTGAATTCCGTTGCCAGCTAAATTCGTAGACATGACATTGATCTACGTATCGTGAAATTGCCCTACGAAAGATGTGGCCCTGTCACTTCGAAAGTATCATCAACCACGCGTTACAAAAGGGTGCCATCCATACTAGTGTCATACTATTTCGCGTCTTAGTGGATGTCACACCTTGACACATACCATAATATTACACGTCTCTCTAGCACTCCAGGTCCAACTGCTCTCAAGGAACAAACAAGAGCCAGCAATTCAAATTCCGCCCCCTCAGAATGTGAATATACGTGTCACATATACATAGATAAATATACAAATGAAGATATACATATATTTACATATAGGTCAGTACAAGCATGATATAGTCGCAGTCGATGTGTCATATATAGACAATTTATTTTCCTCTCGTGGGTTAGAGTGTATGATGATTCTATAATCTTGTATAAGCCTCAAAATATATAAAAGAGGCCTCGCTAGTCAGGCGATCACATGGTGCTAAAATGAGATTTAAAATTTATGATATATTAAAGACCTTTTATGAAATTATTCTTACTGTAGGTATAAGAGAAAACACAATTTGTTAGTTTTGGAAATAAATATGACAAATGTAATGTTAGTGTCTATACCCCCTGCAGATTGCCACCAGATTATGAAATAAATAAAAATAATTGAAGTATTGACGGCTTAATATACCCGGTCTCAAGACAGTAATTGCTATCTATAATCTCCAAAATACATTGCACTTATAGTCTAAATTATTGGTATATACGAATAGTACAAAAGTAAATTAAAATTATTAATAAAATATCACTATTATGACATTATTAATACCACAGTTAATAGCATTTACATGATTAATTTCCACTTCCAACATACCATATATGATATAAAAAAAAAAACAGCGATGAATATAACTCCTTCATAATGATCTAGTCAAGAATCACCAAAAAGACAGTTAATAAAAGTAATGAGAGCTGTGATAATAACAGGAATTAAAAATAATAATGATAATTAATTCACATAATAGCAATATACATTTTCTTTCAATGGAGCAGTGTTGCTATACATAAAGATCCCATTGATAATAGATGATAATGATCATATCAATAATGATACTGATATGTTGATACACAGTGATGATGATGAAATTGATGATGATAACGATGGTGATGATGATGATGAGGAGGAGGATAATGATGATAAAGTTAGTAAAGACAGAGATAGTGCTAATACGAATGATAATGGAACTACTATTACTACCAATGATAATGATAATAATAATGATTATTATAATAATGATAATGATACTGATGATGATAATAATAATAACAATGATAAATAACAGTAACAACAGTAATAATGATAATGATAATAATAGTAAAAAACAAAAATATCAACATCAATAACAGTATAATAGTAATGATGAAAATTATAAAAATAATAATAATAATGATAATAATAAAAATAACAATAATAATAATGATGATAATAATGATAATGATAATGATGATAATAATTATAGTAATGATAATAAGATAATAGCATTGATAATCATAATAACAACAACAGTAATGTTAATAATAATGATAACAACAATAACAATCAGAATTATAGTAGTGATAAAAGTAATAAAAATGATGATAATGATAGTAATGATAATGATAAAGATAATGATCATAATAATAATAATGATAATAGTAATAATAGTATAATAATATAATAATAATAATATATAAATATGATGATAATAATGATAATAATGATCATGATAATAATAATGAAAATAATAATAATAATAATAATGATAATAATAATGATAATAAAGCTGATGACGATACTAATGATGATGATATTGATGATGGCAGTAATGGTAATAATGATAATAGTGGTAATGAAGATGATGATGATAGCAATAATGATGATGATGATTGTAATATAATATAATGATAATGTAATGTAATATGATATAATGATAATGATGATGACGATGAAATGATGAAAAGGATGATAACAATAATGATAATAACAATAATGATAAAAATAATAATAATAATGATAATGGAAATAGGATAAAGATAATAATGATATTAATAATGCTAATAATATAATAATAATAAAATAATAATAATATATATAATAATATAATAATAATAAGGAAATTATATTATTATTATTATTATTATTATTATTATTATTATTATTATTATTATTATTATTATTATTATTATTATTATTATTATCATTATTATCATCATCATCATCATCATCATCATCATCATCATCATCATCATCATCATCATCATCATCATCATCATCATCATCATCATCATCATCATCATTATTATTACTATTATTATCATCATCATTATTATGATAAATAATGATAATATCAATAATGATAATGATCATAATAATGATCATGATGATGATGATAATGATAATGATAATAATAGTAATGATAGTAGTAATAATAATGATAGAAATAATTATAACAATAACAACAACAATAATAACCATGATATTAGTATCAATAGTAATAATAATAGTAATAATAATGATATTCACAATGATAATGATAATGATATTGATAAGGATAATGATAACAACAACAGTAATAATGATATAATGATATAATAACAATAATGATCATAATATAATAATAATAATGATAATAATAATAATAATAATAATAATAATAATAATAATAATAATAATAATAATAATAATAATAATAATAATAATAATAATAATAATGATAATAATAATAATAATGATAATAATAGTAATAATAATAATAGTAGTATGATAGTAGTAAATGATAGTAGTACTACTAATAATAATAATGGTAATAACAGCAGCAATAATAATAGTAATAACGATAATAATGATGATGATGATTATGGTAATAGGATAACAATAATGATGATTACATGTTAATAGTAATATAAATTGTAATAATGAAATTGATAAAATCAATTACCATTACTATTATTGCTGATATTCTTATCATTCATATTATCATCATTATTAGTTATTATTTTTATGATCATTAATGTCATTATTATCATTTATCATCGTTGTTACTACTATTACTACTAGTATTATCATTATCATCATCATTATCATTATCATTATTATCATCCTTATCATTTTACTATCGTTATTATTACTTATTATCATTATTGTTATTAGTGACCGTAGCATTAGTACTAGTATTAGTATCAGTACTATCATTAATAGTAGTAATATCATTATTATTACCATTTTCATTTTCATCAATATTATTCATATCATTGATGTTATCCTCATTAACATCATCATCAATATTACTATTCTTATAACTATTATTATGATTATTATTATTATGATAATCATCATTATTTTTCTTTTACTATTTTCATTGTCATTATTATCATTATTATTAGTAATATTATCATCATTATCATTATCATTATCAACTTTATTATCATGATCATCATTATTATTATCATGTATATCATTATTACGATTATTATCTTTTGTTTTTATTATTATTATTATTATTATTATTATTATTATTATTATTATTATTATTATTATTTTTATTATTATTATTATTATTATTATTATTATTATTATTATTATCATCATCATCATCATCATCATCATTATTATTACTATTTTGATCATTATTGATAACACTATCATTGTTATTATCATTATCATTATCATTATTATCATTATCATTATTATATTATCATTATTATTAATGCAGTCATCATCATCACCATCTCATCACTATCGATGTTGTTATCTTTATTATCCTCATTATCATTATCATTAGCAGTAGTAGTAGTAGCAAGACTAGTAGTTATTATTATCATTTTTATCATTATTATTATAATTGTTATTATTATCATCATTATCATTATTGTCATTTTGCTTTTGTTATTGCTATTTCTATTATTATTATAGTAGTAGTAGTAGTAGTAGTAGTAGTAGTAGTATCACGTTCATTATTTTGTTATCATTATCATTATTATTATTATTACAATTCTTATTCTTATTATCATTATCATTATTATTATCATCAGTACTATCATCCTTTATTAGTATTACAATTATCATTATTATCATCATCATTATCACATCATTATTATTATCATTATCATTATAATTATCATAATATCTATTATTATTATCATTATTGTTATAATCTTTATAATCATTATCATTATAACTGTGATTATTCTTATTACTTTTATTAACATCATTATTATTATTATCATCATTATCATTATCATTATCATCATTATTATCTCAATTAATATCAATATTACTATGTTATATTTTATCATATAAGTAGTAGCATTAGTATTAGTATTATCATTATTATATAAGTAGTAACATTAGTATTAGTATTATTATTATCATATAAGTAGTAGCATTAGTATTAGTAGTATTATTATGATTATCATTAATATTAGAAAAAGCGTATGAAATATTGAAGTC